TTTGTAGTCTCTAGCTCTGTGTAGCAAGCCTCAGTTCTGCCCCTCAAGATAAAATTATAGGACAAGTAAATTGTCCTTTTTCACAGAAAGATCTGGGGTATGTTTCAGTCTGCTGTCTGTTGGTGCCTTGGGGATGGTAGCCTGCCACAACTGTCTTTCCTATTGCTACAGTCCTGTGACCCAAGAATGCAAGCCCCTTGGCCACCAGAGCCAGATAGATGATCAAGGAGTGTCCCCTGTGTATACTGCCCATGCCTGCCAGCTTTAATGAGGCAGCAGGAGAGCTCAAGGCTGGGGTGTGCCCACCAGCTTTTGCAGGACCGCAGGAGAGCACAGGGTCAGGGCATACGTGCTAGCATTATCACGGTAGAGGGAGAGCAGAAAACTAACCAGCTCCTCCACCCCCCTAGAGAGTTCCAACAGGCCTCTGTCCCTCTGGTGGTTGCTTTAAGACTAGCAAATGAATCTTCTTCACATGTAGTCTAGGCATTTTCATACTGCTGCTTTTGTGCCAGTGTCCAGGGTGAGTGAATCTGCACTCAAGCCCTTTAAGAGAAGAATCTCAGCTCCCTGCAGCCCTATGGGTCTCCTGGATGTGAGCCTCACTGTTTTCAAAGCCAGATGTTTTGGAGGCTTGTCTCTTTGTTGCAGGTCCTAAGGGTTGGGGTGCCTGATACAGGGCATGAACCCCTTGCTCTTCAGGGAGAAGCTCTGAATTTGTGAGATCCCTCCCAGTTGCGGGTTGCCACACTGTGATGAGGTTTTTGGTGAGACTGCCTCTGCTATCTATCTTGATGTGGCCTTTTTACTGTTTGCCCTGTTACTGTTTGCTGTGCAGAAGTTGTTTGGCTCATTTTTAGGTCTTTTTCATAGGGAATTGTTCCATATGTAGCTGTAGTATTGGTTTATCCATGGGAGGAGGTGAGTTTAGGATCTTTCTATGCCACCATCTTGGACTTTCTCCTTCCATTTTGTTTTCTAATATGGTAAATGGATAGATATAAGTAGTGACCTACTGAAGCCCGTTCTTACCAGCTCGAGAGAGCCAGTGTTGTTAATCTCTTCTTAAATCTTTATTCAGGTGTCACATTGCTAGCTTGAAACTAGCCACATTGGGAGTATTTACATCATGGAAATGAGTTGAAACTACAAATTTGGCATTTTTGAGGGTAAAGGAGGGAAAGCTGGCTGTTGAATATATGCCATTGCACAACTAGATATAATACACATAAACAAAAGTTCTTTGGTGTTCTCAAAAAATTTAAGATCGAAATGGGCTCAGGGACCAAAAAGTCTGCTAATCATAAATGAACTGCTGGTAGTTACTTTACTGTACAAGTTCAACAGCAAAGTCTGTGCTAATATATGATGAAGGCGGATTATCAGCCAGGTGCTTTGTCTTTAGAGCCACTTCACCAGTTTCTCCTGTGGTGTCTTCCAACAAGAGGAACTCCATAAAGTGACGTGAAGTCATAAGGTATGTCATATGCTTTGTGGTTGACACCCTAAGTTCATAGCTTACTTACTTTTTGAGAGATCAGAGACTCTCAGTATTATGCGAATATAGAAAATTGGGGATGAGAAAAGATTCTGGGCTTGAGTAGTTAGAGAAGTCTTTAGGGAGGAGGTAAAGCATGAGATGGATCTTAAAAGTTTTTAGGGAGGTGTATTGGCTGAGGGATGTGGAAAAGGGGTTAAGCATGTGGGAGGTAGAGGCAAGGTATGATTTTGCTGTGAAGAATTTGAAGAGTTGTTTTAGGAAATAATGAAGCAGATGGGGGTTGAAAGAAAAATCAGGCTAAGAATTAGGAACTTAACTGGATAGAGCATAACCAGTAGTGTATTTTTTAAAAACTGGATCAAATGTTAAGGTGAAAGAGGTCTTTTCAGAGATTAATCTGGCAGATCTGTGTAGATTAGCAGGGAGTGGTCTGAAGCCAGGTAAACCTGTTTTAATCATCAGAAAGGAACGATAGGGTGAAGAACCTGGGCTACTAATTCAGAAAGACTTTGCTTAAGATCCTTCTTCTGCCCCTCTGTTATTTTCAGCTCATGGATAAGATGGAGATAACTAGCTAGTTGGGTTGCAAGTAACACAAAGGCATGAAAGAGTTTAGTAAAGGTTAGGTGCCTGGTACTATGCTGGGACCTTCAGTGAGAGGTATTATCAATGCTCCTTTTGCTACTACTACTTCTACTGCCACTACTTTTATAATAATATTTGATGCGCTATAATGAAGACTGAAACTGGTGAACCATAAGTAGAAATAGGATGTAGAAACCAGGCCCATCCTTAACACTAATGGGTGCAAGAGTACACATGAAAGTTCACTCATTATATTTCTGAATATTTAAATGCTACAAATCAGTTAACTGTTAAATAAAATGTGCTCTACCTCCTAATTTGACTGATACAGCTTTGTAATGAGGTGGATGATCATTTAGAATTTACAGGTTCTTTTAGGAGTTCTGTTCTAGAATATAGTGGCCAAAGGAGAATTGGCCTGTCACCTTGTTCTTCTCCTGTAGTCTACCTCCTTTTGCCCATATCCTAGGTTCTTTGCCATAGCGTGTCCACATGCCTATTTCCCAGGCAACCTTGCCTCACCCCTTGCAAGCTATCTTTTGACTGCCCCTTGGGCCTAGAGGTGGGTTTGCCTGCGTCCCTGTCTGCCCTGGGGACGATACTTCAGGGCTCTGTATGTAAATTTGGGATCCTGGGAATCTGCTGTGGTAGAGTGCTGAGGAGTCAGAGAGCATGCCCTGAACTCTGCAGACTTCTCACTTCAAGAAGAAGTACCTGGCCAGGGGGCCAAAGTGGGGGCCAAAGTGGGTTCTCTAAAGTGTAAGGCCCAGGGCAGTGACTCTTTGTGCCTGGGTCTCAGGATGGTGCTGGAAGGGATCATCTGACATGGGTGACAAATCAGCAGGATTTGTTTACTATTAGTTGTGGAGTATGAGAAAATGAGCGTGAAAAAAATGAATACCAGGAGAATTATAAAGCCACTGAGAGAGTTAGCATAGTATGTGGGAGCAGATGAGGTGGGACCTGAATACAAAAAACTGTGTTTTGCTTGGCATTGAATACCTAATCAACTTCTAGCATATTGCCAAGCACATAGTAGTGAGTCAAATGTTGAAGGGCAAGATGAAGATACTTGGATTATTTGTGCCACAGATGAGAAGAAAGTCATTGTAGAATATAGAAAGAAACAAGAAAATAAGTTCTTGTGGGGCCAGTGTAGAGTTTTGAGGGAGGGTGCATCTTGCTGTGATTGGCATGGTAGTGAGTGAGTGAGCTACTTGTGTGTGTGGACCATGTATATTTAATATTTGTATGTGTGGCGCCTAACATAGTTGCAATTCTTTTTTAAATAAGTAATTGAATAATATTATATGAGAACAGGCTTTAAGAAATGAATTGGATCTTAAAGTTAAAATGATTAATGGCAAAGACAATTTGTATTATTAGTGATCTGATATGGAGTCTGAGAAACTTGTAATAATTCAAGACATGAAGAGATCCCAAGCAATTGTGTTAGTTTCAGAATGAGGTGGCGAAAAATGTCTTCAAAGAGGAGATTTTACTTGTAACCTGTCTGGAGAGGAGTAGAGTACACAGATAACTGTAGATTAGCTTGAATTTTCTTACTTGATATTCACTCAAATTAAGTACAGGTGAGGGTGGTTGGAGAAAAGAATCCAAGCTAAAGGACTTGGTAGAATTATCTTAGAAACATCTGATTATGGGTATGTATAACTCATAGTCATTTTGCTCAAAGTTGTTATGAAGTATTTAGTCACTTAATTTATAATAAATATGTACAATAATATCATGTCAGAAAATATATGTCATAATGATAATAAGGTAACAGGAAAATCTGATAATAGGGTTAAAATTGTCGAGTTCTTTCTGAGAACTCTGGTGTGTTAATTAGTGTAGATGATTGCATTTTTGCTGTATCTGACTTGTAATCTCCTAAATACACAGCAAACACCTGTGATTACTTTAGTGATCCTTGTCTTGTCATGTTCAAGTCACCCCGAAAATGTGTATTTAGACTGTTCCCTGTTCATATATACTCAGCTGTGCCTGTTTGCTTTGTTATTTTTCTGAGTTTAATGGACCGACATAAAAATTTATGGCAACTGTCACTTAATGTCACCTTTACCTTTAAAGAAAAAAAGAAAACAAACAAAACTAAATCACGCCAGGCAGCTATGATGCTGTTTACAGTTGACTAAATTATCAGAATACTTTGTACTAAATTTATCTCTGACATCATGGGCCAAATTTAGGGCAAAAACGGTATGAACATATATAAACAATATACTTAATTACATTTTTATATATAAGTGTTACCCTAAATTTAATTTATTAGCCAGGAAAAATCATTAGTTTTAAAATAACGTTGCCCATTCGTCTCTGAACCAAAGATTTCTTTTTAAAATTTCCATAAAACTGAATAATCATGTATATCTTATTAATTTCTCCGGTTTGTGACCTGTTTGTATGTTGTTTCTGCTTGTTTATTTTTAAGAAATAAATCTTATTTATTTTTAAGGAATGAGCAAAGGTATGTCAGCTGCTAATCCATTCTCACTTTTGCTTCTCTATATCAGGCTGTTCTCAGAACTGGCTGGTCTCTCATCTTCACAATTTAAAAGCATAGGTTTTTTCAAAGAATTCTTCTCTTCATTATTTTCCCTCACTTAAATTTTTCCTGATTATTAGGTTAATATGTTTACTTGACTTCTAATTCTTTGAAAAGTAAAAGTTCTCTCTCCTTTTCTGTAAAATCAATATAACATTTTTTTTTGGCTAAATAGGAAACTTTAAAAAATATAGTTATGCAAAGAAATACTTTAAAAATAATTCATTTGTATGGTAATTAGTATTTATCCACAAATTCAATAATTTAAAATAATCATATATCTTCTAGATATCAAAGAATTCATTTTTAATGTTAACCTAATTCTTCTTGCTTTTAACATTTTAGGCCACTTGGTCATTCTGGCATTTTATGGTAGAGAATACATTGAGTTTGGCTCATGGAAAGAATATGAGGTAATTGATCCATGTTCTATATAAATTATGAATGTACACAAAACATAGAGTATTTTAATATGTCAAATATGGGGTCTCTGAATTTTTTCAATAACTTTTTAAAGTGTGAGATTTTGAGGTAGGTTTTTCCTTTCTTGATGGTTGACAATAGCTAATATGGTAAGGAACTTTTCTTTTACTACTTGTATATGTTTAAGACAAAGTATTGGAGCTGTTCCTCACATTATACGGTTACAGTTAATATTTTTAAATGCTTCAGATAGCTTATTAGCTCTCTGTGGGGCTAAAAAAACCTCAAGAGAACGCCTCCTTCCTATCCACCTCCCCAGCCCGCCCGAAGTAGGATTAAAGGCATGCTGCATTGAAAAGTACTAGCAGCTAGTGCAGGAAATAGTGTGAAAGGGCATTGAGGGTCCTATAATGTGAAATTTCTAGGCACTTCTCAGTGTGGTCTAATGAAAACAAATATGAGCCTCATATGTTAGTCTTTTGCTGTCCCTTTGGTACTCTTGTGTCACCCTGCATGATGCCTGACTTTGGCATTCTAAAATGGCACTCAGCTAAGTGCATATGCCACATTCATATCCATAGTTGTTTCATAGATCACCAAGCATCAATCCTATATCAGAATTAGTTCAAATTAAAGATAGTAAAATATAGCAGCTATCCTTATGAAATTCAGCCCATGACACAGGAGTGTGAGAATCGGCGGGTACTAACTATTGAGTAGAGTATAATTGGCTAACATACTGCTGATGTCATAATTCCCCTACTCAGTAATGGGTTGGTTATGTAAGAAGGTGCAGCAGTTTGGTGTGTGAACTTCTGCTTCCACTACAGCAGTACTTTAAAGAGGCTTTCCGTTGGCATTCAGAAACGTGAAAAGTGCAGAGGTGGTAGTGGGAGGGGCATCAGAGGGATAGGCATAGAGTCTGAGTACGTGTAAGCTGTTCATCATCATTGGTCTTTGAGATTATGCTTGTACCCGAATTGAATTACTTTCTTACCTTCCCACACAGTTGGAATGCAACTGAAATGCAGCCCATTCAAGGTGGTAAAACATTGCTCTTTTAACATTTCTTCAGTCTTCAGCTTCTGTGGGACGATAACCATACAATTTGCTGGTTAAGAGACTTAACCAAGACTCAACAGAAATAAGCTGGAGCTATTTCCTCCATTTCAAACCTGTGGTTTTATAAAAGTCCACCAAAGGGTGCACCAAAAATTCCCCTAACCACTTTTCAAAATTTTTTATGGATATAAGGTTGCAGGAAACATAAATAGTTTTATGTGTAAGACCTTTGTAACATGATTTATAACAAAAACTATGCATTTATGTATAGGCGTTATAATTAAAGAGCTATAATCTTTATCACTGATAGTATATTTATTTATTTATTTATTTATTTATTTATTTATTTATTTATTTGCGGTACGCGGGCCTCTCACTGTTGTGGCCTCTCCCGTTGCGGAGCACAGGCTCCAGGCACGCAGGCTCAGCGGCCAAGACTCACGGGCCCAGCCGCTCCGTGGCATGTGGGATCTTCCCAGACCGGGGCACGAACCCGTGTCCCCTGCATCGGCAAGCGGACTCTCAACCACTGCGCCACCAGGGAAGCCCTGATAGTATATTTAAAGAGACTCAGTGCCAACTTTTTCAAATAGTTTTCCTAAGAAGTTTTGCAGCTTTATCATATTTATTAAATCATTTGAGTTGTCTGTATCTAACAAATGAATGATATTCTTTTTCCTTATCATTCATTTTTCATGATTGAGGGCATCTGGTATGGGCATCGATAGCATACCTAATAATTGTGATAGCTCATGTGGGCCTAGAGAAAAGAGTGTCCATAGTGTACTTCGATTAAAAATGCTTGCAAATAATGTTTACTAAAAATAGGTTAGTGGGGCTTCCCTGGTAGCATAGTGGTTGAGAGTCTGCCTGCCGATGCAGGGGACACGGGTTCATGCCCCGGTCCGGGAAGATCCCACGTGCCGCGGAGCAGCTGGGACCGTGAGCCATGGCCGCTGAGCCTGCGCGTCCGGAGCCTGTGCTCTGCAACGCGAGAGGCCACAACGGTAAGAGGCCTGCGTACCGCAAAAAAAAAAAAAAAAAAAAAATAGGTTAGTGGAAATTTAAAATAAAAAACCAGTGGATATTTTGGTGGAGTCCTTCTTTTGGGTAAGTTGTAGGAGATGAACTTAACTTGAATTATCCCGAAAAGCCATAGAAAACAAGTTTATATGTGCTGCCCTTCCCACATTTTCCTTTTAATCTGACTTTTGGGCTTTCATTTTGATAGCCTTAAACTCCTTTGTTATATGTGAAATAAGTAAGTTGTCTTGGGAAGGGGAGGGGTAGGGAGGGAAAACGGTTTTTACTTATTGCATGGCATATGGGCCGTTAATTATAATATACTTTATATTTACATTGTAGATCACACTTTATAAGGTTCTTTTGTATGTACAGCATCTTATCTAACTTTCTTCCTGACCAGTTATATGGGACCATATAATGGATGGGAAAGCCGAGTCCAAGAGAGGTTAAGAAACACCTTTGAAAACTGTTGCACAGCAAGTAGTTGGAAGATCTAGCATGTCCACCCAGATCTTGTGACTCTTAATCCACTGTTCCTGTCCACTATATTAGTAATTTTCAAATTGTATTTTCCAGTCAAAGAAGTTCTTCAGGAGCCGCCTTGGGTAATGTTGGTGGCTGCAGAGCAGGTCCATTTTTGTCTCTTTTTCTTTTGAGGCTCTGAGTAGTATTTCATCAGAAGTAATTTTAGAGCCATTGCTCTGTACTATTTTTCTTTGTGCAAGGACTAAAGAGAAGCAAACTATATCCCTCTAAGTGACAGTCAAGGCTGTATACCTCTTGTCCTACTGGCATTGTGGATCTAGAAATAAGAATTAGACTGTTGGCATTTTCCTTACTTCTGTTCCTTGTCAACTAAGTACTTACTGAATATGTACTGAACACAGTATGCAGGATACACAAGTTACTAGCTTTTTACCAGGGCCAATGACAATTGGTTTTAAAATAGTAATATAGTTTTTGTAAAAATTTAAATAGAAACTGTTCATATTAAACATATTATATCTTGGTCATAAAGTGACATTAATAAGCATCGCCATTTTTATACAATTTAAAATATTGCTTGTACTTAATAATCCCAAGGCTGGTAGTTAAGCATATTTGTTCTTAGAAGTAATTTTCATAAGCTATTATCTATGTATAGAGTCTTGAAAATGCTAGATTATAGTAGCATTTATGAGTAATGCTAATAGTGTCACAGAATGGTACCTTCATCATATTATAGAATTCTAGAGTCTTTGATAATAATGGATTCCAAAATATGTTTTCACCTTACCCAAACATGCATTTAAGCCTTATTGTATTGTAACAATCTATGAAATTACATATCTGCAAATAGAAAATAAATTCCATCAGTGGTCAGCAAAAACATCATGAAATTTAATAATGGTTAAGAGTTTATCACACAAATTCAAGATAAGAGTAATTGTTATGGAAGCAACCTAAGTGTCCATTGACAGATGAATGGATAAAGAAGATATGGCACATATATACAATGGAATATTGCTCAGCCATAAAAAGAAACGAAATTGAGTTATTTGTAGTGAGGTGGATGGACCTAGAGTCTGTCGTATGGAGTGAAGTAAGTCAGAAAGAGAAAAACAAATACCATATGCTAACACATACATATGGGATCTAAAAAAAAAGGTTCTGAAGAACCTAGGGACAGGACAGGAATAAAGACACAGACATAGAAAATGGACTTGAGGACCCGGGGAGGGGGGAAGCGTAACCTGGGATGAAGTGAGAGAGTGGCATGGACATATATACTACCAAACGTAAAATAGATATCTAGTGGGAAGCAGCAGCATAGCACAGGGAGATCAGCTTGGTGCTTTGTGACCACCTAGAGGGGTGGGATAGGGAGGGTAGGAGGGAGACGCAAGAGGGAGAGGATATGGGGATATATGTATATGTATAGCTGATTCACTTTGTTATAAAGCAGAAACTAACACACCATTATAAAGCAATTTTACTCCAACAAAGATGCTAAAAAAAAGAATAATTGTTAGACTCAAATCATAGCATTGTACACATTTAATGTATCAACAGTTTTGTACTTTTTATTTAAAACATTTTTTATTGAGCTATAGTTGATGTACAATATTATATAAGTAACAGGTGTACATTATGATTCACAATTTTTAAAGGTTATACTCCATTTATAGTTATTATAAAATATTGGCTGTATGCCCTGTGTTGTACAATATATCCTTGTAGCTTATTTATTTTATACATAATAGTTTGTACCTTTTAACACCCTTACCCCATTTTGTCCCTCCCCTTCCCTCTCCCCACTGGTAACCACTAGTTTGTTCTGTGTATCTGTGAGTCTGTTTCCTTTTTGTTATATTCACTAGTTGTATATTTTAGATTCCACATAGAGTGACATCATACAGTATTTGTCTTTCTCTGTCTGACTGACATCACTTAGCATAATGCCTTCCAAGTCCACTGCTGTTGCAAATGGCAAAACTTCATTCTTTTTTCTGGAGTATTACTTTTCTTAAACTTAGCCATTGAGCTCTTAGTTTAGAGTACTAAAGTAAACACTCTAAACTAGTAATGTTTGACTGTTTTCTCCACAGTTCATTCTGAACATGGAACAATTAGAGAGGCACTGAAAAGGGCAGTAAAAATGGATATATTGGCAGGAGTGAGGAAGGATTCAAGAAGCGTGGGGGGAATCTGTTTTCAAATTTACTTGTATTTCTCTTTATTTTTTATTACAGAATTTCAGCTAAAAATCAATAAAGCAACAAAATGACAGGTATGTTAGATCCTTAAGTTATCTCCTTGAAAGACAGACCTAAGTAGAATGAGCTTGAATTATAGGAAGGATGTTTTTAATTTGTCATAAAGAAGATATCCCCTAAAAGTGAGTGGCAATAGAGGGATATTT